ATTTAAAGCGAAATTCAGTACATGAGATAAAACAATGCTTTGATTCGCGTTGGTTACATAAACATAACACCTAGGAAATCAAAGCTTAGCTTGATATATACACCACGACGTCAACAAGTGGCTTATTCCGTACACTGCATATACAGCAGATATTCTATTATGGTTTTGGGTAGGATGCGATGCAAAGCTGCAGACACAAACTACAATAATTGTTTGGGCACATTCTCCTTTATCTTATCGGTGTATTGATATTGAACATCACGGAATCTGTCCCAAAACATTACTCTCCATAAAAGCATTACAATTGCATAAGGTCTTAATACACATTCTAGGCTTCAAATCAGTACATAGGCATGAAATTCACTCATTCCTTGACTTTTCTTCTTGAGTCCCTGTACCTGAAATAAAATTCCACAAAAGGTGAGACATGAATCTCAATAAGTTAAAGGAAAATTCATTAATTTCTATATACCAATTCAGCCACATGTCCTTGGTGACTCTAGGATCATAAAAACGGGTTAGTAAAATGTATAGTAAGAGCATGCTCGTAAAAATATTTTATTTTATTTTTTGGAATAAAAGGAAACAAAACAACTAATCACGGATCAGTCTAGGAGTAGTAACCCCATAATTGTCCTTTGTTACAGCCTCCATGCAGGTGGGAGGAATACTGGTTAGAACATAGAGATTTCAGTCAAAAGGTGAAGCCAAAGAGGCCAAGATATCAGTTACTGAATTGCCTTCTCTAAGCACATGTGAGACCTTAACCTCCCAGGATCGCCAAGATAGTCTTTGATGCGTTTAACCAAAGGGAAGAGGTTGTGATGAATCTGACAACCATCCTCTACTAGCTGGATAGCAGTGGAAGAGTCTCCTTCCAACCAAATCTGTCGTAAAAATATTTTTAAGAGCATGATCGTACAACAATTTGTAATGAGTATCCATTTCCAATAATGTCTAGTCACAATACCCTATATTTATAGGCTACTATATGTGCACTTATTTGGATTAATTAACTTGTATGTGAATTGAGTTTAACCACAAGAACATGCACTTAGAATGTCAACTATAACATTCTTACTATCTTGGATATAGAACAATTGGGAGAATCTATATGCATATCATAAAATATAGAATAAGAATTAGAATAATCTATTTATTCGAATAAATAATAGATTACTGTACAAAAAAATTTGCATAGAGAGTGACTCTTCTCCAAATTGCTTCGCACTTAGTAATACTAATGCATCCTCAATAAAATTCTCTAAGGTAAACAAAAGCGAACTTTTACACATTCAATTACAATTTCTACGTCTACTCATAAACATCCAACATATGGGCAGAAAAGAAATGGCGCATGAAATCAATTGTAACCCAAGAACAGACATACAATCAGCCAAATGTGTCTAACTCAGAATTTACAGACTCATTGAAAAAAATATTTATCTTTTTAAATAACGTTAAAATAACTTTTTTTATTTAATATTTAAATTTAAAAAACCTCTCATTTTCTTCCAATCATGATTTTTATTGTATAACTTTTTCTCTCATCATAAAATATTGTAATTTTGATTAAAATAACACAATTCTATATCATTTAAAATTACAAATTATAATCCCTTTCAGCATATGGTCAAATTTCTAAAATGTGCAGAAAAGAGGAGTTCATTCTTAACTTACTTTTAAGATGAACACCTTCCTAGAAAATGTTTAGGAACTTGATCATTCCCCAACGTAGCCTTATTTTCCTCCAAGAAATTGTTTGTTTTAAGTGCCGTAGAATCGCCTACTTTCAATTCTGAAAGCTTTATTTGGATCGGAAAGACCAAAATGCCCCCCTTCTAGGTGCAGCTAATACATGGATTAGGGGTAATTCTGGAAATGTCCCATTAAGACAAGACAAAAAATTTAACTTATGTGAAAATTCACGTGACCATGTAAAGTGGGTAATCATAACCATACAAAGGTGAATCAATGGTAAAAAAGGAGGAGAGAGAAAAAATGATAAAATAGGTAGTTAAGAAATCATAACCGTTAATTTACCTTTGTATAGTTGTGATCTTCCCACATGACCATATCATGTTTTTTTGACACGTTAGAGGATCCATTTCCAATTTAATTACACACTTAAGAGTTATTTAATTAGTCATGCGTATCAATAGCGATAAAATAAAAAAATTCTAGTATCACAAAAATGATCGTAATTAATCCTTAAAATATATATTTTACCAATGAAAAGAAAAAATAGTATATATGAAAAGCATATTAAAATTCTTCTCAAAAATAACTTATCTACATTAACTTAGAAACATTAAAGTCATATTTTATATAACATAAACTTAGACCATTCGGGTTAATTTGTAGTTAATTTTTTATAGCATTATGCCTCTTAAAAAAAATAAAGCATGATATTATTCACAAAAAAGTATACTGGGGTAAGAGTTAGAAGTCTTACACTCATTTTTTATCATTGATCTACTTGTATCCAATGGCTCACATTTCTAAAAAATTAGAGTCCTTAGATATAATTGGAATCAACGGTCAAGATTGATAGTGTAACTTAAACTGGTGTAAAATGATCCTCATCCATATATATATATATATATATATATATATATATATATATATATATATATATATATATCAGAAAAATATTTCTGCAGTTAATGCAGATAAGTTATCTGCATTTACTTCTAAAACGATGTCGTTTTGGGATTGAAAGATCAAAAAATTATAATTATAAAGACTATAATAACCCTAAAATAAATTAAAATTACAAAAATACCATAATTTCTGGCCCAAAACGACGTCGTATTGATCTTGCTGCAGATAACTTATCTGCAGTAACTGTAGAAAAAATGAACCATATATAGAAAAATATTTCTGCAGTTAATGCAGATAAGTTATCTGCATTTACTTCTAAAACGACGTTGTTTTGAGATTGAAAGATTAAAAAATCATAATGATAAAGACTATAATAACAAAATAAATTAAAATTACAAAAACACCATGATTTCCGTCTTAAAACGACATCGTATTGGGTTTACTGCAGATAACTTATCTGCAACTGCAGAAAAAGCGAACCTCTATATATATATATATATATATATATATCTCGTAGTTAACGGTATTAATAGAAATAAAACAACCCGAAGATTGACGTACTTGGTATGCCATTTATCAAAAAACTAAGGGCTTAATTTCGCTTTGAAAGTGGATTAATATTTTAATTGATTTAATTTTTCAATTTAGATTAATTAGAATTGAATTGTGATTGGACTCATTCACTATTTAAACAAAGAATTTAAAGTTTCTATAATAAATATAGATAAATTATCTACATTCACTCCCATCATTTTAGATTGAAAGATTAAAAAATTATAATAATAAAAACTGTTATAACTTTAAAATAAATTATAATTATAAAAATACTTTAATTTTTGCCTTATAATAATAAAAATTGTTATAACTTTAAAATAAATTATAATTATAAAAATACTTTAATTTTTGCCTTAAAAAAATATTATTTTAGACTCAATGCAGATAACTTATCTGCATTATGTAAAAAAAAAAATCCTTAAACAAAAGGTATAAACTTAGATATTACGTGTAATTAAGTCGTTCAATTTTAAAAGTATAAAACTATAGTTAAATGATATTTTTTAATATATATTTTAAAATGGATTATATAATATAAAATATTATCGCAAAAAATAATTTATATTAAGAAGTTTTATAATTTTGTTTAAAATTATGAATTTTAAAATATCATATAACATTATAAGGGAAAATGTATATCATTTTAAATGACACAAAATTATGTCATTTTAAGTGAGATAAAAATATAAATCATGAAAGAGAGTGGGGGAAAAAAATTTAAAGACGTGAATCCTACCTCTTTGTTTGAGTGAAAGGATGTAAGGTGTGTCATTCAAAATGACACACCTTTTTCCCAACATTATATTACCTAAATCTAATCCAACATTTGTTCAACTAACCCAAAAAAATTCAATTGGATTCAATTTACATAACCTAAGTCTAATTCAACATTTGACGGACCTAATCATTGGGTTAGGCCGAATCATGAACTAAGTCTTTATAAGTACTCGCAGTCTATTGAAATTGTGGCTCCTGTAGTGTTCACCATCTCCACTAAAAATTTCATGTACAGACAAAAAAAAAAACACAAGTCAAAATATTATCAATGTTTTGGTTTCATCTGACTTTTATTACATTATAACACGCTAAACATGTTTGGTATTCCAAAAATACAGGATATGTTTTGAATATTGTAAATTGGTTTAAAAGACAAACATGGGTGCACAAAGTTCCCCAACCTACTGAGGGAAGGGATGAGAGTTGATTGCGAGGATAGGGATGAGAGTTGATTGTAAACAACTTTCCCTTTATATTTTCACAAGGACGCAGTTTCTCATACTCAAATTCATGACCTTCCAATCACAAAGACAATTTTATTGCTACTCCAAGGCTCGTGTAAATTGCTTTTAAAAAAGAAAAAAGAAAAAAGTAGCCAACTTGAGAGGGTTATAAAGAAGAGGAATGATATTCTTACTACCAAAATCTTATACTACTAACTTACTACCTATCTAATTACCATTGAATCAAAGAGAGAGAATGCTAAAATGTTTTTGAAAAAAGAGAAAATGTTGATCCAATGGTTATTAGATAGGTAGTGAGTTGGCAGTAGAAGATTTTGGTAGTAAGAATATCCCTCTTCTATAAAGAAACAGCTAAAGTTCCATTCAGTTATGTTGAGTTGCTTTTCTTAACAGATCTCTTCATATAATACAATTCACAGGCTATTAATATTCTAAATTGTTTTTGACCTTTAAACTTTTATCCTATGACTAAAATTACCCCTTGTTTGATTCTTTCTCCTACCTTATCGCACTCAGACATTTATGGAAATATATATCCTAAAATAAATTTGTAATAAGCAAACCTCGTGAAGAAAAGAATTTACAAGAGACTGCTTTGTTGATCACACTATTAACATCTTTGGCCTCATAATTCATTCTCGTATCACCTTAATGCAAAATCAAAATTTAAAAAATCTACCTCTCATTCCTTTTTGCACCCACAAATTCCATATATGTTCTAATTACCTCTTGGAAATGAATCCTGACGAGCCAGTGCATAGGTTTCCCTTGTAGGTAGGTGATTTTCAGCATCCACAATATTTGCTTTAGAACAAAGGAAGAAGAAGGAAGATGTGTATATTGTAATATGCCAAAAGCTGCAACCATTTCAAAAGAGCAAACATGAGACACAGAAACAAAGAGATAGAAGGAAGAGTGAAATATTGTAATACCTATGCCAAATCCAGTAGTTTTCACTGGTTTCAAGCGTCCAGCTTGTTGCTGCCATGGCCAATGCAACAAAACCGGCCAATAAAAAACCCCAGCGGAACCGTCTTAAAAGGGTCTTGACAAGATTATAGAGCCATTGCTTTATAGTTTCCAAACTGCAGCGGAAATTCACCATTACAACTACTTTTGAATATATTTAAGACATAACATAAACTAGTTTAGGACTTGTTCATCTTCAAGCACATGTTTAAAGAAAAAAACATAAAATTGTTCTGTAATCAGGCTATGAATACAGTGTATGACAATGAAGACCTTGAAGACACCTAATAATATTAACAATTATGAGTTACCACCACCTTCTTAGTTCCTTAAGTGAAAAAATGCTATTAGAAGATACAATTACCTGCTTTTTAAGCTTTTCAGAATCAACGGCTGTGGCAATAAGCCCTACTCCAAGACAAAACCAGTGACTACACATGCCCGTGAGCCAGACCATGAGTAGAATGAAAGAGAAAACAGAAGTATTGTGTAGAATTGGCGATTTACAAAAGGCGTTCTTGTAAGATTTGATCCAATGATGAAATCAGGACAGATATGTTACTACTATCAAGTTGAATTGAAAATTTACAGAAAATGAGCCCATAGCAGATGCCAAAGTTCAACATGCCAATAAACTGAGGAGGGATAGAGATTGTAGTGCAGAAGAGAAACATTAATAACCACACTACTGCTTAATATTCCTAAATTGAACATATCTTCACTTGGAGCTCCTAAATCGCATTTCTCTCCATTAGTTTCCTCATCCATGGAAGTAAATCAAGTTTACATAATTTCTATTGCCAAGAGCCATATCACAATATTTTAAAACTCGGCCTGGTCATCCACTCGGTCGAGGTACTGGGTCACTGCGTCATTGGTTCAACTAGTGGGTCACTGGTTCAACCGGTTTAATTAAATTTATATTAAATTATATAATAAATATATTATAAGGTGCATTTTGACCAACAATTGAGGGTAGCCTAGTGGTAAACCGTAAATCCTAAACCCTAAAACACCCTGACCCGCCAGGTTCCATTTGTCAACCGGTCGAAACCAGTTCAACTGCATGACTGATCCAATGACCAGCTCGAACCGGTGCACTCACCAGGTTACCAAAACCCCAGTCAACCTGGCCAGTCCGATCCAGGTTTTAAAACACTACTTGACACTCTAGGAATTTTTACATGGAAAAGGTTGTTCAACAAAGAACCCTGGCAACTCACTTGAGAAGAATTGGGGAACAGACCATATACAGTACCATACAGCTTGATCATGCAACTGTCAGCCACAAAACGCACAACCCCGGAGGAAAAGTAGAGGGAAGGGGGAAACAATAGCAACCCTAAAGTGGCAAGGATGCATGCACACAGAAAACTTTGAAACTATAGCATTGTGCAGAAATTGTACCATCAATTACTATTATGTTGTCTGGCAATTGTCCTAAAACAAATTTAAATTTTTTAAGTACAGAGAATTCACCTTTGAAGGGAGCTTAGTGAGGATCCAAATGAAAAGGAAAGGGACCTAAACTTTGATGAGAGTTCTATCAACCATGCAATAAGAAGACCAAGAGCCCCAATCACAATCACAAGAACAATATTGGATGACCTGCAAATTTCAGTATAGATACTTGTGAATAAAAACATCTTTAGCAGCCTATATACGTACTTGTTTGTCAACTAGGTTCAATTGTACCTGGTTGCCTGAGTTACAGCCATGAGGGCAGTAATAATAGCAACAACTGTGTGGATTGCCCTCTTATATACTTCGTCAATGGTAGCTAGAAATACAAAAGTGCTAACCACAGCCATGAAAGAGAGCCAGAAGTCCATGAACTGAAATATTGATATGTAAAGTCATTGTAAATTCCCAGAAAAACAAATATAGCCACAGCGTATTGCATTGTATTTAGATCCTAATATCTTTAATGAAGTCAATTTTTAGCTTCTCATCTGAGAATGTGTACATACTAATATGATTGAAACCCAAGGCTTGAGAATTCACAGCATAATGCATTCCGTTAGGAATGTGAATCCTATTATGAACTCAGATTACAGAGGACTGTTGAAGCTTGCAACAGCAATGTGAGTGACTCTATCCCATCTGAGTAACATTTTGAGTTTCATATATGTATGTATATATATACATATAGATTTTAAGATAGAGTAAGAGAGACCATTGAAGGCAGGGTTGTAACCTGTAGAACATTAAAGCTCAATGCACACCAGGTGCCTACGTCACATGCATGATATAGCCCACTTGAAATTCCACTGGATGTGAATAAAATCCATTCTGCAAATGCCTGCATGTAGGAAATTACAGGTTCCATCATCAACACAAAATCTACAAAATGAGTCAATTTGTTTTGTTGGAAATTTAAATGTAAGGCTCTTTGAGTGAGCATATAAGTACTCCTTGGCAATCCAAATCGGTGTCTCCTTCTCACTGTGTTAACTTAAATATCTAGAATTATTTATCGTCGACATCTAAGTTTCCATACAATTCTGAGAGCCCGTTTGAATTGATTTATCAAAAAAGTCCTTTTTATGACTTCCTTATTTTAAAAGTACTTTCTATAAAAGTTACAGCTATTTAGATTTTAAAAAAATATTTCAAATTTTTAAAAAAAAATATTTGGCTTTTGACTTCTGCTTTTTTTAGAAGCTAAAATTTTAGCTTATGAAAAAAGCAGGTTTTTGGCTTTTTTTATGACTTATGTTTTTTTTAAAAGCAGGCATCCAAACAAACTTTTTTCGAGAAGTTCATTTTTTTCTTAAAAAATGCAGCTTTTGAAGAAAAAAAAGCCCATCCAAACGGGCTCTAAATAGTACCAACCAATTTTCATATGCGGGTAGATAAATGATGATATAACATGTTAAGAAATATAATATAAAAATCATTCATGTATGTTCACCTAACCACTTAAACTTTTGGGGTAGTTGATTCATGACATAGTATTAGAGTCTCTATGATCAAGTGGTCTAAAGTTCGGTTCTTACTGCCCTCATTCTTCTAATAAATGTCGTGGAATTTCTTAGTACGGGTTAGGTGGTCTATGCATTGTCTATCCTTCAGACTCAAAGGGCTATTGCGTGAAGAGATGCGTTAAGAAATATAATATAAAAATCATTCTTGTGCTTTCACCTAACCTAACAACTTAAACTTTTGGAGTAGTTGGTTCCTGACACAACCAAATGACGAGGAGAAAAATAGATAACAAAAGGAAAGAAAGTAAAGGACAAGAACTACCTTCTGCCGAAGGGCCCAGTAAGCAGGAAGTATGGCAGCAGCATTTGATCCAATGAGAAAAATTGACCGCAGTATATGCCCTACAAAAATATATCTAATGTCTTACAGCACATTCTAAATCAAAACATAATAGCAAATCTATATATTTGACAAACTAAAGAGAAAAACAGGAGAATAGCATACTTGGCTTTTAACTTTATATATTTAGACTGAAGTTGTCAAACTTGACTCAAACTCACCATGCTTACCTACTTTATTTAATAAATAGCTATCAAAAATACATATGTACAAATAAGTAGCAACAAATCATTATAAATGTATCATAAAATGGAAACAAAAATAAATCAAAAAAGATAGATGACCAAAATATATTTGTAAACCATTTAGTTCAGGTTCTCTGCTTCTGTCACTTAAACAGAACTATTTCTTATTCAAATAGTAGCCAGGAAATCAGATAAAAATAACATGACAAGGAAGGGAGGGGGATGCAGATAATATAATAAAAGTTGAATCAAGATATTTGCAATAAAGACACCAAGTTTATCAATTTCTAAAATTAACAATCACCTTTATGTGATACAATTTCAATGCTACAGTCAAAGCCACCATGGTTTCGATCACAAGAGCAGAAGCTGAGGACAAAAAGAAAACATAAAAAACAGTTAATTTCCTTAGGAAGTTGCGGAACAAACACAAATCATGCAATCTGGAAAGTCTGCAACTTATTAGCTGATTATTTTACACAATGTCTCAGTCAATACCAAGGACTTTTACAGTTCTTGTCTAGTAATTTAAAGAAAACAAATGAAATGTAAATAGAACTGGTAAATTAAGAACAAGCAAAGGGCTTAACATAAACCTGAATGATGTCAATCCACTAGCATCAAAAGAATATTTACAGTCCCCATGAGAGGAGCATTGATTTGGGCATCCATCAAGTGAAATAGACATGATAGTTTTCCATTTCATAGAATCATTGCTGGTATTTAGATGTCTTAGACCCAAACCCCAAGTTCCTTCTCTAGCATAAATAATGTAAAAATCAATATTGTCATCACTTGAATCATATAGCATGAAAAACATCGATTCATCACTCTTCCTTGTCTTGTTAGCATAATAATAGTCCCAGCTATCAAGAGAAGGCAATCCACCAAATCTAGCATAAACTTCATAACTGATCTTCACATCTGAGGATAGCCGTATGTGAATATTTCGTCCAGCTGCACCACGAGGAATGTCCAAAGTAAAGTAAGTCCAAATGTCATCAGTTTCTTCTCCGTTTGATGAGTTGTTTGAAAGTGGCTCAAGAGGAAAATTGGTAGAAGATGCTCCTTCACCAACAGGTAAATAATATGATTCAAAGGGGGTTTGACCTCTCCTAAGAACCGTCTGCAGACAACCATTCTTATCTTGTCAATTTCTTATTCATGTAAGTAAATATCTTTAAGCATCAAGATATAGAACTCATTCAACCACAAGGTGTTGTTAAACTTAAATCTATGAAAAATGCTACAAAATTCCTATTGAATAGTATTTAGTGAAAAACTCCGTTATTCTACACAAGTAAACTAAATATGTTGAGACATGGAGGTCACAGGTTCAATTCATGTAATCAGCTTCTTGCTAATGCAAGGGAAGGTTGCCTACCATAGACCTGCACAACAGGTCTCACCTTCTTGGTCCTTGTGGATAGCGAGAACTTTATAGCACCATCTTCAACCCTTATTTTTTAGCACCAGGCATAAAATAGTTCAAATCTCAACAATCTTAAAAAATAAGTTCAGTTTATCCCAGGAAAGAAGTCAATGAGTAGACTTTCCAAGAGACAAGCACCAACATGTATGCTAATGCCTGCACTGAGACAAGGCACATTCCTATTTCTGCAAATTACAAACATCTGAATGAATTCTGAGTCGTACATTTTGGATGTTATCATAGTCTTTTATTTGCTACTAGGAGGATTATATTTGGATAATATTCTATTTCTTTTCTTTTTTCAATTGTTGCATCTATGCATTTTTAACCATCAAGATATGACTAACACGTGATCATATCCCCATTTCACCTAGTGAAGTTATAACCCAGGGAAAGTTTTGGAGTCCAAGAAATACCACACTGACATAATTTGGAGTTGATTTTCATATTAAAAAAAAAGTACCAACACAAAAAGCATATAGAGGCAGGGACACATACCTGAAGTGTGTAGCTACTCATTGTGCAATTTGGTCCAGCTTTCCCAAGTGGGCACTGAAGAAATTGTGATTCCATTGAATAGCAAACTTTTACATTGCCATCCTGAGTCCCTCCAAACTTTTTTGTAAGATTAACTGGTAATATACTAATGTACAGACGACCGATCAGTGGAGATCGAATAACCAGAGGGGATTTGTTTAAATCACTGGAATAATCATGCATAGTCTCTGAAGGTATTGCACCATGTCGAGCAAAACACATTAAATTAATATCATTTGCACCAGAAGCATTATTTGAAGCTGTAATGTTGAATCTGACATTTGCTGCCATAATGGTCAATTCATCTACCACATTTGCTATATCCAAGGAGTAAATGTTTGGTTCACCTTCCTGAACACAAGAAACTTCAAAGTTACTTTTGCAGGTCATTGAATTTTCCATCATTGGCTTCTTCACGGTAGCATTCAAAGAATTATAGACATCCGATGCTGTGCATGAAAGTGGATAGACTGTACTGTTACAGAACTCCCCCCTTATCATTGAATTTGTGCATGCTTCCACACTTATATTGGCACTGAAGGAGTACGCTGGGCCTCGGATGATCTGCAGAGGTAGAAAAGTAACTGTTATTCAGCCATGTGTAGTCAATCCATCAAGAACTCTTACTGAGAGATAGAATCGGGCAATGGGCAAAATGGAAAAAATTTAAGGAATTTTTGTTTTGAGATGAGATGCAAAAATAAAGGCAGAAATCAATATTTGAGGCTGTGTCCAATCAGACATTCTGGATGGAGAATTTATTAGGTACATTTGTTGTACCATACCATTTCTATCAATAGCAATCTAGCTTTAAAACCCACTTAAACAACTCCATGTAAACCCCGGCTAAATTCGAACTCGTGAATTTTCGGTCACAACGGAGCAGCTTTATCACTGCTCCAGACTTGCCATCTTTTGGCTTTAAATCACACTTGGTTATTGAAATTCATTTTCTTTCATTTAGCTTTAGAAGAAAGAAATTGAGTTACTATATATATCAAAATGGAGTATTAAACTAGGTGTGCTGAACATTTCTCGTCTAAATGAGGCTAGTAATAGTACATTTGATTCGAATGCCCATATAAGATCATGAATGAAATTCACTAGCTTAGTTAACAAGATATCATTTTCAACCACTCAGTCAAGGATTTATAGCTTCAATGGAGATTTGATTGTGAACAATCAACCATTGGGCATATTGATCGATCTACTATTTACTGAATCAATTAAGCCTTAACTAAATATAAATTTATATGATTTTTCGTATCATCATTAGTTCATGATTAATTGAAAGAAAGAAGAACAGATCAACCAGGAAGCTTGGTAAAACCAAAACATAGGAAAAAGAAAAACAAAAATCAGGTCGAAAGAGCACGCCAATCCAATCCCTTTGCATATTAAGGTATAATAAATACACTATAAAATCCATGATTAATTGAAGTTTTCAGCAAATAATACAATTTCAAAATGAAATAAATGTTAGAGCACTGGCTGGCAAAGCTGATTCTTATCATTTATTATTAGGACTATTGTAATGCTAGAAGTTTTTGCCAGTGATTTCTACTAGTGATGAATCTTCTATGGATAGGATAAAGGGAAACATTAACAATAACTTCCACAGTTCACAATAAAAATCAGGATTAAAAAAGAACAATTCTATTTAGTTATGCACAGTAATGTGAAGAGGTAGTATCAGCATTAACATAATAGCTACCCTTCTAGCATAGAATTGCACAAAAAGGAAGCACTGAAAGGATAAGAAATGGTTGCAACAAGTTAAGTACTTCGAATTTTAAGGTTTCTTTGTGAGAAAAGCGATATTTGGATAATAAACCATACCATCTTCGATTGTGTCCTTGTAGGTCCAATGCCATTGAAAAGACCAATGTACCAAGCACCTGGAGATATCTGAACCAATAATTCTTATGTTTGTTGTCTCTGATATTATAAAAGGACAATAAGCAAAATCACTTGTGAACTAATCCTAGTAATATAGGAATTTAAATGTTAAAGAAGATATAGCTATGTCATTATACACCTGAAAGGAAAGGAGATACTGAGCTTTGAGATACAATACCAATATAAGCAAATAAAGATATTGCCAAAAGTAAAAAGGAACTATTACAATACCTGCTCGTTTGTCAATTTCATAGTGATATTTTTCTCCATTGGAAAGCACTGCTCCACATCAAGACCATTTATTCCTAAAGAAAAAGGGGAACAAAAAAGTAATTATAAAGTGGAATTACATTAGACAGTTCAAGAAAAATAGTCCTTTTTCTTGGTCAAGGAAGAGTTAGAGAACAAGAGGAAGAACGAGTACTGCCATGGTGCTTCAAAACAAACTGAAACAGTAAGCAATGAAGAAAACATAATTCATGAGTTCAGTATTCATTCATTACCGGATAGCCAAAAGAAACCATCATAGTAGGGCATGTAAAAGAATGTGTGTGTGTGTTTTTTGTTTTGGGGGGGGAGGGGAACCGTATACTAATGAATCAAAAGAAGAAGAATTACCTATAGATTTTCTTATGCTAATTTAATGAATTGAGGGATTTTACCGCGGGGGCCAAAACAAATTCATAAATCTCTTAGAACAAAATTTAAGATAGAATTTATGTGCTCAAATTTTGAGTTTAAAAAACATTTTAGTTAACTTGAATTGAATTTATTTAGGTGGGGCTGTACCTGAGACAGCTGAATCTTTCAGAGATGTGTTTAAGGCATCTGGTAGAGGAGGGCTGCCATCTCTAAAGCATATTAATGGCAGCGTGCTTTTTTGAACCCTTTCAACTCCTGCAACATCCTGAAAACAATGTATTTATGAACCAATGAGTGAGGCCAACAAGACAAAGCTGATTGGATTAAAAAGAAACAAGATATCCTGAAATCAGGTTCACCATGCAATTTTTATGTAGCAGAACCAACAACAAAGCAATTTTAATAGATAAAATAACAATTTAACAATTAAAGGAAAAGAATTTAAAAAAGAAAGAAAATTTAAAAGACATATAGGATTCTTATCAGAGTACTAAATCATTTTTATAATTACCTCATGCGACATGAGGCAATATAAAACAAAAACAATATCAAAATATAAGCACACGAAACAAATCTAATCCAAAGGAAATAAAAATGTTCCCAGGCAACAGACACCAATACAGATGCAAGTATTCTCAGGTGCTCCTATCTGCAAAGAATTCTGGAGTATACTTACAAGGTCTACATCTGAGTTCAATGCTATGGACACTGCAGAAAACCATGGTGGTATATCAACTGCAACATGACAAAACAAGAGACAAGTAAGATCATCATCATCATCATCATATATATATATATATATATATATATTTAGCTTCTCCAGTGATATTATTTATTGTATCTCATCTCTGTTCCAATCCGAAACAGCTGATTATTATCCATCTGTTGCTCATATAGGGATTTCATGCATAATAGTCAGACATAAACACAACATTTTAACAAGTGCCAATGGTTTAAATCTAAGGGACACGTGAGAAACTTATATTTGAATAATCAAGCACATGCAGGGAAAGAAAGAGGCATGAAATGAGAAAGCAGAAAAAGTCATAAACCAACTACCAAAATATTACAGACAGGACTGCAGCATAATTCAATTCATCACAAATTAGAGAACAAATGACAACCCACAATCATAAGAAAGTATCATAACCTTCAAGTCAAGTCATGGCTCTCAATATCACAAATGAACCCACATAAGAATGTTATTGCCAATAAACATAGCTCTGTAATTTCTCTTCAAAATGATTAACAGAAAACATAACACTGATAAGATCAACACCATTAAATTGTTGCAAGTCTCCTAAGTTTCCCTCCAGAGGGTTTAATTCTGATCTTAACCTTGTCATAGAGAAGAAAAACTGAACAATTGCAAAATCATTTACCTGGGACTCTTCAAAACATACTGAATAGTTATAAGTCAATTCCAGACTAAGTAACATTAAAAAAAAAAAAAAAAAAAAATTATTAGCACACAAATTTACCTATATAGTTAAAAATTCAATTCCGACCCATTACACTTTGGAGTGGGAAATGCTTCACAAACAACAATAGAACAATGAAAAGATAAAAGAAAAGGGTGAGTACCTCTGATATAGCGGAAATCGAAGGGCCTAAGGGTAGTCTCAGGGTAGCTGAAGCTGGAAACAGTGAAGATATCAACAGTGCTACCGAGTTCATCATTTGCAGAGCAGAGAACAACTGAACATGAAAAAAGTAACAAAGTACTGAGAAGAATATGATTATGATTGAGATGACACCACAGAATCGAATTGAAAGACATTTTTTTCTTTTTTCTTTTTGTAATTTTGAGGTTGTTCTCAGACCATGAATTGAAGACGCAGAGCAGCCAACGATGAATTATATTATAGAACTGTTAAGCAAATTAAGACAAATATTGAAAGAAATCTTTTAAAGAAAAACTATTATATGTTTTATTATGTTTACATTATGGTTTTACTTTTCGTTTCTTCCCTTTTTTTTCATATCGTAGGAGAAATATAAAAATATTAATTTATTTATTTAAAATTTAAAAACTTATCTTATTTATTTTTATAAAAGTTAAAGTGGTAGGTTATAATTACAATTTTTTTTTTAAAATCTCTTACAATCATATCTTATCACTATTTATTTTTGTCAATCAACGATTATCATTTATTGTGAATTAATAATTAATTAATGAGTTTAATTTACGAAAATTATAACCGTTGATTGGCCGAAATCAACAGTGTTAAGATATGATTGTAAGAGGTTGTAAAAAAAAAGATCGTAACTATAACCTTTCTCAAAGTTAAAATAGTGACAAAAAAGATAAATTTAATAACTATTGATATTATATTAATTATTATAGAGATTACAATAGTAAAAATTCAATTTAATATTGATTTATATTTTAAAAAATTTAAATGATACTCTAATTTATAATATGACAATTTAAGCATTTGCTAAAATATCGAAAGAGAATTTTGGTATGTATATAATTTTTTAGTTTATTCTATTTAAAAAAAAAGTGAAGTATGGAAAAAGTGTTTTATCTTTTTTTTTTATATAAAATGACTATGTTTTGGTATATAGTTATTAATATTTTGTATTTTCTTTCCTTCACAAAATTAGAAGAATAAAGAAAGTATTGTGAAAAAAAGAGAATATAAAAATAATAAATAATATGCACCAAAATATAATTATTTTATTTAAAATAACATAAAATTATATTTTTTTAAGATGACAAATGTTTATATATGTGTGTGAAAATATAACTCTTAGGGAGAGTTTATCTCTCTTGCCTCTAATGGAGAAATGTGCCATCTTTTTTAAAAAAAATAAATAAATAGTATGTTCCACCTGAACTTGTGTGTACATAAAATTTGAGCCCATATGTCTATAAGATCGGATATTATGTCTAATTTTTTTTATGAGTTTAATGTTTTTATAATAAATACACATAAGTTATATGCATTCATTTCTAAAATGGAATTGTAAAATTAAAAAATTATAATAAAAAATTATTATAATTTTAGAATAATTTAAAATTATAAAAATACTTTAATTTCTGTTTTTAAACAATATTATTTTAAATTTTATAAAGATAATTTATTTGTATTCACGAATAAAAGAGGAACCCTTGTTTTATATATATTTTTAGCTGAATTATTATTATTTAGAATGAAAAGGTGAAATGCGGCCGGCCGTGTTGTAGTGTAAGGCTGTAAGGCATGAGCCACGCGCAAAAGCCCCAGTAGCAAGTCAATGTTAAAGATATTGCTTTGAAATATTATTTAAATATCATGCCACCTAATATATTAAATTTTATTGTTATAGAATTTAATTATTTTTTTCAAAACAAATTATTTATTCATTTTTTTTAAATATATTTTGTCATACGCAGCAACTTTGAATGCACTAGCATGGTTTGTGAAATGAAGCATGCATTTTTAGTGGGTCAAAAATTGGTGTCGGGATTTGAATGGGAAATGTTGGGGAACTATTTGAATAAAGTTGATAAAATAAGAAAAGAAAAAAGAAAATGGTAGAAAACCAGTAAAATAGTATAGGTCACCAACTCACCATCGTCTGGAATAGTGACCAAAAGTGTCGCTCTTTGAAAAAAAATTATCTAAATATCACGTGAATAGTATTTTTTATCATATTGCACCAAATTTTTTATCACTAGTAATGAACTTTATTCATTCAGCTTTTTTCTGTAAAAATATGCCACGTGTTACAAAGTTATTGACAAACATAATTTGCTAGTCTCCTGTAAATCAAGCGAAAATTTTGATGTTTTAAGGAAATTCTTGTCATAATTATAATTGAGGACAAAATTAGTAAAAACAAATTTGATTATACATTTTTTGTGTTATTTGAATAAAATTCTTTTTTCACTTGAATCATATTCCTTTTTGCAGCTAAGAAATTATATTCTTTTGAGGTATTAAATTTGTGGATAAAAATAAACATTAATGTTCACTTGATATAATTCAGTTGATACAAGTGTAGGATACATAATACCAATGTTATTAAAACCGGCTCGGTCATTGGCCCGGTCGAGGTACTGGGTCACTGGTTCAACCAGTGGATCACTGGGTAATCTACATGACCCGGTAATTATATGTAATTTTAAAATTTATATTAAAAAATTATAAACATACTCAAATATCTAAGCAAAAATGACAAAAAAATTCAAATATTTTAATATAAAAATAATAAATCACATATTATTTTATAATAAAGGATCAAACAAAAATATAATGATCGTGATACGGGGCTTTAGGTTCAGAAAATGATATCTCTAACTATAAATCAAATCAAAAATTTCTCCATAGTGCATAATTGAGATAATATTAGTGTTGTAGGTATATAACTTATGTAAGTCAATAAGCAAAAAAATATATTTAAATATGTCTATTATGAAACTTTTTTTTTGAAAAAAAATTTGGAACTTCTTTTTGGTACCGGGTTGGGTCACCGGTTAACCGACCAGATCACCGGTTAACCTACCGGGTCACCGGTTTTTATGAAAATTGGTTGGATCAGACCGGGTCGCACCGGTTCTGATGCATGACCGGTTCGTTGCTTGAACCTGACCGGTTATATGATCGGTTTACCGGTTCTCGAGTCGACCCGGCCGGGTCGGTTCGATTTTAATAACACTGCATAATACTGTGCAGATTTAAACTTCATAATACATTTCACTAGGGGTGTTAACGAGCCGAGCCGAGCTTTGGTCTTAAAAGGCTAAGCCTGTGTTTAAATGTGTCAGCCTGACCAAGCCTGTTACCTGTTATGAATATAATTTCAGCCTGTGGCCTGTCTTATTTACAAAAAGTAAAAGCATGGTTTAGCCTGTTAGCCTGTTTAAAACAAAATAAGGCAACAAAAATTTATCCAAACAAAATATACAGTTAACAACATTAGTAATTCCATAAATGTTCATAAATTTAATGTATATCCAAACAGCATAATATAAAACAAAATCATTCAAAAAGTCTGTTTAATTAATAAAATGGGATGAAATGGATTGAGGAGAGAGAGAGGGCTATCACAAGTAGTATAAAAAATATAAAATTAAAATAAAAATTAATATATTAGGCTGAGAGGCTCTAAGGCCGAGCTTTTGAATTGGAGCCTAAGGCCTTTTTATTAAACGAGCTTTTATATAAGTCCTAGCCTGGTTCCAACAATCAATTTTAGACATAAAAACTCAAGCCTTCACGAGCCGAGCCAAAGATCCGTAAGGCCCCTGACTCGTTTAGCACCCCTACCTTTCACTTATTCTTTTCATCTTTTTTCTTTTTGTCTTGTGAGGCCTGACTTTTTCCGAGGTTCATCACTATGATATAAATATAATGACTTTTTCTTCCCAGGCCTGACGTGGCAGAAAAGAAAATTTTACAGTAAATACTCAAATATTATTACCAAAAATTAATAGCATATTCTAACCATTGAATTAATCATTATCTTCTAATGTAACAAATGCTAATACATACTTTTAAACTTTCATATTATAAAAAGAATAAGATATTTTTAATATACCTATTATACCCCCAACAATAAAGAGCTATATATGATAATGATATGGTGAGTAAAGTAGAAGGGAAGTGTGAGATTGAGAAATGAGAAAAAGGACACATTCATTGTGACGATGATTGCGTAATCACGCATTCCTTGTGACTCGTGAGGTGTGTGTGAGACTGTTTGTGTTTTCGCATTTAACCCTATCGTAAGTTTTTAACTGGATACGTTACTAGCTAAATAATTTTAAATTTACCAAAATTACAGTATTATTATATTAGTTTTTAATTTTTGTTTATTAAATAAATATCTTAAAAAATTAAGACATTTTCATTTGTTTTTCCTTAAGATTAAAATATTGACATCAAATAATAATAAACTTTATTACTCCATTTGATTAATTTCTTGGGGTATTAACATGTGAAAGCAGAGACGATAGCGGCATGGGCTTGCACGATATTCGAACTTATATCTTGCTTATTTTAACAAGTTGGGTTAGGGCTTCATGGATAAAAGAAATTCTCTTTGGGCTGAGATACTTAATTAGATCTAAATACAAGTGTGTACAAATAAATGACATTGGATGAAAAATAGATAAATTAGTGAAGATTGAATCTTAGACATCATCAAATTCAACTCAGAGATCCGGGGCAGACCCACCCGGGGGGCTCCGATTTTTATTTTATTTTTTCAGAATTTTTTTAGAGTTTGTATGTGAATAAGTATGCATTTAGCACTTTCACTCGAAGTTTAATAATATTTACCTTCAAAGATGGACAATGATGAATTAATGACAGTTTGGATATAAAAAATATTTCAACTCAAAAGTTTAAGTCAATAAGTCATAATTATATCGATGATTTTATATTAATATCTCTAATGTTAGATTTTTTTAGCAATATTAATTAATTAATTTTATGTTTTAAAAATTTATCGAATTAATTGATATTCCAAATCTATTATTTTGATTAGCTCATTGTGATCATATTGAGTTGGATTTATGACATTTATTTATATTAGGCCTAATTGAGCAACAGTATAAGCTTTAGTATGATCTTGGTTTAATAAGTATGCATTTTGCACTTTCACTTGAAGTTTAATAATATTTACCTTCAAAAGTGGACATTGATGAATTAATGACAGATTGGATATAAAAAATATTTCAACTCAAAAGTTTAAGTCAACAAGTCATAGTTATATTGATGATTTTATATTAATATCTTTAATGTTGGACATTTTCTTTTATGCGGGCAATATTATTTAATTCATTTT